CCCTCGGCGGGAGCGCCACCGCGCTTCCCAAGTGGCGCACTATAGCAGTGCGCCACCAGGCCGGCCCTAAAATGGTGTTTTTAATCAAGGTCACGAGTTCAGACCCCTCACTGGCCAGTTGCCAAAACAAAAAAGAAAAAGGTGTTTTTAGAGAATTGATGGACAAGGAAAAATGTTAACGACAAAACATTAATATTAAAGTAGGACAGAAAACTGCAGGTAACTTAATCAAACTTTTAAAAAAATTAAGACACATGTACCCACACAAAATTATACATATATATACCCACACAATATAAAAGCACATACAAATACTTAAAGAAAAAGAGACTGGAAGGAAATATGCAAAAATACTAATAGCAGTTATCTCCTTATGAAGTAATATTTCCTTTTTGATATTTTCCTAATTTTTCAAACTTCCTATAATGAAGATATACTATTTTTATAATCAGAAAAACCCAAAAATGTGTTACTAATAGAACAAGACATTACATGCTACTACCAATGCACATAATAAAAATTATTAAAAGATTTAAAATAGGCTTTCATATCACAAAATGAACTTTCATTCACAAATCTGGTCTTTTAGAGGGTTTTATTAGACACTTTTTTCCCCAAATGATTCAAAACAATAGTTCTTTCAGTAGTATTACTTGTGTATATAAAATTACTGTATTTCACGTGCATTTTCCTTGACTACATAATAAAAGGTAAGTGACAATGTTAGTATGTTATAGGATAATGCTAAAAATAAAACAAATATCACTAATGGTCAGAGGAGTAGAAATGTAGTTAATTTTTAGTATTCTTCTTTTCATTTTCCTATTTTTTTCCTAGTTCCAATGATATTGTTTCAATAACCAAAAGAAACCAATAAATGTGGTTTTAAAAAGTAGAAAGGGGCCGAGCCTGTGGTGCACTTGGGAGAGTGCGGCGCTGGGAGCGCAGAAGCGCTCCCGCCACGGGTTCAGATCCTATATAGGGATGGCCAGTGCGATGCGCTCACTGGCTGAGCACAGTGCGGCTGGTCACAAAAAGGACAAAAAAAAAAAAGTAGAAAGAATTATTGGGTCAACTGACAAAATTGGAAAATGAAAGGTAAATCAAAGTCTTGTATCAATACTCAATTTCCTAAATGTGGTAACTATACTGTGGTTACACGTAAGATGCCATTGTTCATAGGAAATATACACGGAAGCATTGAGGAGCAAAAGGGCATTCAACTTACTCTCAACTGGTTCATGGAAAAAAATATACATACACAAAGATACACAGAGATAGAGAAAGAGAGGATATGAAAAGTATATAAAACAAATGGGTAAAATGTTAGTACTAGATGAATTTGGATAATGGTTATATGCAAGTTGTCTGCACTACTTTTCTACTTTTTTGTACACCTCAAATTACTTTAAAAATTTGACAAAAAAAAAGGGCCGGCCCGGTGGCGCACTGGATGGGGCG